ACTAGCCAGGAAATATTCCACATGGATAAAGAAAGTTGAGCCAGAAATTATTTTATCATTGACCGCTTTAACTTGGGTTAAACTTTTGGAGGCCTCAGCTAAATTCCACAAAAAGAAAATCCTTCAGCTGATTACATGACTTTGTTTAAAGGCACAGTGCCTGGCATATAGTAGGTGCTTAATAAATGTTTATTGATAAACTTGATTTTCACTCTTTTTGACTCCTCTTTAATGAGGGTAGTATTCTCTGAAACTGACATTTCTTCCTGACATCTGCCATCCCTTTTAAAACCTTCCCTTTCCCTTTCTCTGTATCTGCTAGTTGAGTTTGGTATATTTCTACACCATATTTAGTTTGTGTGTTCGTTCATTCCTCCTTTGTGCATTTCAGGTAAATGAAGATCAAAAGATATTCATTCCTGTAGCCCCTCCCTCCATGTTTGAATAGTCATCTCTCTATTTCAAATAGTGATTTCTACTTCCTTACCTTTTCCCCAGAATGCTTCTTTCTCGTAAGACCAACAAACTGTACCTTGTCCCTTTGTTTATATTTCTTAACTTGATCTGTGATGCTTAGAAGCAGTGGGATTTTGAATCAATACTTGTCTCTTTCCCCCATTAAAGCAGAACCCCATAGCTCCTTCTCCTTGCTGACGTGTATTTATCTATCTAGGTTTGTCTTGTTCCCTGTCTCTCCTAGCATTCTCAGCTTTGTCATAGTCATTGTTTTATCCCAATTAGGAATGCTTAGAAATTCTCTATTCTATTAAAGATACCTTTTCCCCTTAGAGAACCATTCATTTGGAGGCTCTGGTTTTTGGTTATGACATTTCTGGATGTTTTCAGTTTGGAGTTTCTTTTAGGGGGTGATTGGTTAATTCTTTATTTTTACTTTATAATCTTGTTCTAATAGATCCGGGCAGTTTTCCTGACAATTTCCTGAACTATGACATCCAGGTTTTTGTTTTGTTTATGGTTTTCAGGTAGTTCTATAATTCTTAAATTAACTCTCCTGGACCTTTTTGAGAATAAGTACCTTACACTTTTTTCTATCTTCCCCCCCACCCCCCAATCTTCTGATGTTCTAATATTTCTGTGATTTGATGGACTCATTAAATTCTGATTGTATTTTTTTAATGGAGTCTATTACTTGGGCAAGATTTTCCATCTTCTCAACTATTTATTCTTCTTCCATTTTTTCTTTCCATAGTTTTTATTTCAAATCTCATTTTCTTTTTCATCTCTTGCTTCGTATCTTCTCGGCATTCTTAGAGTCACTGCGGACAAGCCAATTTTCCTCTCTATAATTAGTATTTGCTTGGAGTTACTTTCTTTGTCTTGGTTTACCTCTTGGGTTTCCCTTAACTCATAATATATCTTCATTATAGTGGAAGTTGTTTTCCATTTATTATTTCTATTTATTATTCTGTTTATTCCTGCAGCTCTTCTTCAGAGCTTGTAAGCTTTATATCCATTTACTGGGATTTGGGTTGACTTCTTTGAGATAAGCCCACTTCTAGCCACTTCTGGTTATTTTTTTACTTTGTAGTTCCAGACTGCATGGAGATGCTTACCTTTGTTTTATTATAGTTTCACCTGGGTACTTTTGATGGTTGCTAGGGTATGTGGGAGAGGGGAGTTTCTCTACAACTATTCATGTCACTGTCATGGTCCAGATAGTGGGGGGTCATGGGGTGGTGGGCAAACAAAGCTATGTCCTCATGGTCAAGGTCAAGGTCAAGGCGATGGTCGGCTCACAGTCAGGAAGCAGGTATTTCAATGAATCAATCAATTGACATTTATTAAGCACCTACCATGTGCCAGGAACTGTGCTAAGCACTGGAGATACAAAAAGAGGCAAAAAATAATCCCTGCCTTCAAGGAGTTTGCAATTTAATAGGGGGGAAACAATATGACAACAAATATACACACACACAGAGCAAGCTATACACAGGATAAATAGTAAATCATTAAAAGAGGGAAAGCATTCAGATTAAGAGGCATTGGGGAAGTGTTGTGGAAGGTTGGAGTTTAGTTGGTTCTTAAAGGAAGTGAAGGAGGTCAACAGTCAGAGCTGAGGAAAGAGAGCGCTCTAGGCATGGTGGACAGCCAGAGAAAGGGCCGGCTAACGGATGGAGTCTCTTGTGTGCAGAGTGGCCAGGAGGCCAGTGCCACTGACCCGAAGTACGTGTCAGGAAGTAAGGTACAAAAAAACTGAAAAGGTAGAAGGGCGCTAGGTTGTGAAGGGCTTTGAAGGGCAAACCACAATTCGTCTTTGCTCCCGGAGGCAATTGGAAGTGATAATCATTTAAGATCAATTGAGCCCCAGTAAAGGCCAAAAGCCTGAATTAATCTTTTCTTTCTGAGTGAACTGAAAATGCCCCTTCCTGTGTCCACAGATAAAGCTGATCAAGGGCATTCTTCTGTTTATGACCACTAAGGCACCTTTAACCCAGACACTACCTTGAATAAAGGGACTTTTCTTATCTTGATATTCTATGGTGGTAAAGGAAACACAAATAGACTGGATCTGACATTTGCCTGTCGATTAACACAGACATCCTGAGTCAGGGTTTCAATGCCCGGCTAAAATTGCTTGATGCAGTCAGAGTTAAACCTCTGCCTCCATGTAACATGTTACATGCTGCTACTTTAAGGGAATAAAACAATATGGATTTACTTATCATCCAGCTTGTTGTCTCTTTAACCAACTTTCAGGTTGACAGGAGCCACTGGAGTTGACTGAATAGGAGGCAATATGATCTTTTTAGGAAAATCACTTTAGTTGCTGAACGGAGGATGGATTGGGATGAGGAGAGGCTTGAGGCAGGCAGATCCACCAGCAGGCTATTGCAGTAGTCCAGGTGTGAGGTGACGAGAGTCTACACCAGGGTGGAGGCAGGGTGGGAAGAAAGAAGGAGACATATTCAAGAGATGGTGAGGTGAGAGATGGTGAGGAATCCAGGATGACCTCTAGGTTGTGAGCCCTGAGGGGTTGGGAGGATAGTGCTGCCCTTGACGGCAATGGGGAAGGAGGCAGTGGTGGTAGTGGTGTATTTAGGGGGAAAGATCATGAGTTCACTTTTGGACAGGTTGAGTTTAAGATGTCTACTGGACATCCAATTTTAGATGTCTGAAAGGCAGTTGGAGATGTGAGATTGGAAGTCAGCAGAGAGACTGGGGCAAGATTTGAGAATCTAGCTATCCTGTAACAATAGAGATGGTAATTAAATCCATGGGATCTACCTAATGAGATCAGGACAGAACCCGAGGACTGCTGCAGTTAGAGGATGTGTTCTGGAGGAGGATACAACAAAGAGAGGAGTGGTCAGAGAGGTAGGAAGAGAACCAGGAAAGAGAGGGAGGTGTCTGGAAAACCTAGAGAAAAGAGTACCAACGAGGAGACAGTGATCAGTACTGTCCACGGCTGCAGAGAGGTCAAGGAGAATGAGGACTAGAAAAACTGCTTAGTCTGCCTCATCCTCAGGCTCTGTGTCAGGGTGATGTTGGATGGGGGCCTGGGGTGGAGGGTAACGTGTCTTTGGCTTTCCACCTAATTTCTGAGCTTTAGCACTCCTTTCTATGTTTTCTTTGAACCGTTTAGCAACCAAATTACCCCATCTCGTCTAAAGGGAGAGCTAAAATGTGAACCCTAGAATTTTAACCAAGTGAGAACAAGTCTGTATGTGTGTGTATGCATTTATGTATATATCCTAAAGTACATGTGTATATACCACACACATGTATTCATATACATATGTTTATATTTATATGCATCATATATTTATATAATATTTATATATACACGTACTTTAGATACAAGTGCAAAAAATCCTTGATGAACTGGAGCGACTTAACAAGACTAGCTGAGGAACTTCTGTGGGTGACCTCTATCTACCCAGTTCCAGAAGAGAGATTTTTAATGGCTTGGCAGCTAAGAAGGGGGATTTCAAGCACTTAACCAGGAAAAAACCCCAGCAAACTGGTGAAAATGGAAAGAGAAAGTTGGGCTGAAATGTGACTGAGAGGAGAGACAGCCATTGGCTGACCAGGTACTTTTAAGCAGAAGAGCCAGGCTACAGCCAGCACTTGTAATCACATCCTCGAAGCCTTCGGTCCAAGTAAAGGTCTGCTCTTTCCCCATTTTCCCCTCCTGGTGCTGCTCTGTTACCACATTGCTTAGCAAGTGCCGGCAATGGTGATCTTACTTCTGTTAATTATTTCCTATTTATCCTGCATGTGGCTTGCCACGCATCTATTTGTTTCCGTGTTGTCTCCTTGAGGGCAGGGATGGTCTTTTACCTCTTTTTGTATCTTTAGCATGTAGCACAGTACCTCGCATATGGTAGGTGCTGGATACATTTTAACTGGTTGATTAATTAATAAATGCTCATTACCCTCCTGATGTTTACTCCGCTACTTTTTTTTACCCAAACCTTGGCCTAAATGTTAGGATTTTTCCTAACTGGGGCTTTGGGGTTATTGTCATGATATTCTTAGCTTTTCATTTAATATAAATTCCCTACAGTGGCAGAAGAGGGACCCACGAGGACATCTGAGGCCATCATATTGCCCCTGGTCTAAGCGTTATAAGAGGGTAGGGGAAACTCAGCCAAGACAATTTTTTTTCCTTTCTAGTTTAAATTCCATGCTAATTTTTCTTGAGGGGGGATTGCCTTTTTTGTTTTGTTTGGCTTCAAGTGGAATTTTCTGCATTATTACTCAACCATTATTTTAAGCATTATTTAAGTATTTTTGATAAAAATATCAGTTCTGATCCACGACCAAGAGAGCACCAACTGACTCATGATGGCCATAACCTGTCAGTCATTGTGATTGATGTGTTATTCTTGTTTCTGTTTGCATTGTTGGAGTCGATCAAATTGTTTTTGGACATTTGCTCTTGATCAGTGGTTCTTTGGTGGATGGTAAATACTGGTTTTATATAGTGTGTGAAGCTGCTCTTCCTATTCCAAATAAAACTCAGAGGCTTCTCAAGGTAGAAAACAGAAAGGAGTTTATTGCTTTCTCATGAGAAAGGGTACCGCCCCTAGTCGCCATTGCCCGCCAGGAGAGGACAAGTTGGGAGCCACACCCTTGGCTTTTTATCCCCTGACGGGATGCCCCTTCCCACTCTCTTACCCTGTTTTCCTTTGACTGGGTACTCAGGGCGTACATTCTAAACGCAGCAGCTAATACCCAATAGAAGTAAACATGCCCACGTTTGGACTAGATGCATATGTGTACTAGGAAGTAGGAGTGACCAGGCACCGAGCTCCCCCCCACCCCCCACCATGCTGACGTGGTGCTGGAGAAATAGAAGTTTATCGGGGAAAATGGAAATTTAATTCAAGGCTTTCTGGAGGAAATTTAGGCCTGTGGGAACTGCACTGAAGGCCGTCTCTCACACTCAGGAAGAATGTGGGAGAGAGATAGGAGTGTAGCAGGGGGGTACTAAAGAGGGAACTTCACTGTGAGCCATCCCTCACAATAGCAATACTATGAAGACATGAATATAGTATTTGAAAAATAGTGTCAATTTCTGGAGGCTCATATTTGCAATGTATGTGGAAGGGAACCTATGTTTAATGAAGAACATGTAAGTTTTATGAAGGTCAGAGTTAGGACAATTGGGACTCTAGAAAAGTATACATGGGAAGTGGTCAGGAGCAGCCATTCTGCGCTCTGTGAAGTCGTTGAAAGGTCCAATATCTGTTCATTGTTGTTACGGACATGTTGAGAGAGGCATCTGTAGCGGCAGGTGAAGTCAGTGGGTTCTTATTTTCCCAATGTTTAGGCAGAAAGGAGGATGGAAAGCATTCGAGGTGTGGGAGACAGCCAGGGAAGATACTGGACGGAGAGAGAGAGTCATGTGTGGGGAACAGCAAAAAGGCCAAACTGTCACTGGGTTGTGGCTTTTACTGACAGGAATAAGGTTCACGAAGACTGGAAAAGTAGGAAGGGGAAAGGTTAGGATGGGCTTTCAAAACCAAGCAGAAGATTTTATGTTTGATCCTGGACTAATGGAGAGCCACTGCTTCACTGGATGGGGGGTACACACATGTACACACATGTACACACATGCAAACTGGGCAGCCAGGCATGCTCTTTTGTTCTGTGTTAAGGGTTCTGCATTTGTGAGGTGGGCGCAAGGGGGCCTCTGACCTAGGAATCAGGGGGGAAATCTCGTTACAAAATTGTGCTTCTCTTACTGAACAGCCTAAGGTAGCATTCGATTGGGTTTTATTATTATTTTGGCTATCGAGGGATGGCTTTTGTGCTAGGAAGCCATGCTCATCAGCTGCTGAAAATGTTCCCTTGGGAGTCACTCAACAAACATATATTAACTCAAGTGAGTTATACCAACATGATATAGTAGATAGAAATCTGGCTTCTAAGTCACCAGACTCAGGTGCAGGTCCTTCCTTTTGCATACATAAAAACAGGCATCTGCTACATACTCATACAGATACGTGTGTGTGTGTGTGTGTGTGCGCGTGGGTGTGTATAGACAGCTGGAGGCACAGTTGGTAGGACCATTGGGTCTGGCTTCAGACACTTACCAGCATGACTCTGGGAAAATCACTTAACCTCTGTTTGCTTCAGTTTCCTCATCTGTAAAATGGAGAGAATAATTCAAATGATATAATATTTGTAAAGGGCTTAATATATAGTCCTTCGCACAAAGTAGGTGCTGTATACATGCTAGCTATTATATATGTACACATATGTATGTGTATACACATATACACACACATATAGGCAGCTGGGCGACACAGTGGATACGATGCTGGGCCTGAAGTCAGGAAGATCTATCTTCCCGAGTTCAAATCCGACCTCAGATGCTTACAAACTGTGTGACCCTGGGCAAGTCACTTCACCTGCTTTACCTCAGTTTCCTCATCCATAAAATGAGCTGGAGAAGGAAATGGCAAACCACTCCAGGATCTTTGTCAAGAAAACTCCAAATGGGGTCATGAAAAGTCAAACACTACTGAAATGATGCAACAACAAATATACATCTATCTATATCTATATCAGCTAATACACAGATACATACATGTGTATATGTACATGCTGGCTGTGTGCACAATGCCTGATGGGAGTTACGGCTCTCAGTTAGAATCACAGAGTCTCAAGGAGTGGAAAGGTTGTCTATTCCAACTCCTATCTTTACAGATGAGGAAATCAAGGCTCACAGAGGTTAAGACACTTGGAACCTAGCTGGTAAGTGGCAGACCTGGGGCTGGCTGGAACACGTGTCCTCTGATTCTAAATCCAGAAGGCATCTAACCCAAAGCATGCTTGAGTGGGAATTCCTCTCTGCATCAGCACCAGGAAATGGTTATCTGGTCTCTGCTCAAAGACCTCTGCTGATTACTTCCTAAGGCAACCTAATCCCCTTGTAGATAGCACTCATCGTGAGGAAATTTTTCCTAACATCCAGCATAATTCCGGCTCTTTGAAGCTTTTGGCCCATTTGGTTCAGCCTGAAAAAATATTCTTCTTAGTCCTGATCGCCCTCCATAGATCTGAAAACTGCCGCCATGCTCCTCATATCTTCTAAATGTCTTCAGTTCCTTCATTGATTGCTGTGTGGCCTGTTCTCCAGGCCTCTGGATCCCTCCAGTTTTTCAAGCATGTGCCACCCCTTTTCTAAATCGTTTAACATGATACTGTTTTTGGTTTCGCAGCCTGCACCCAAACCTGGCAACATAATTGAGTACGACAGTTCTGTATTTTCCCATTGGGCTATTTATGTTGGGGGTAATTGTATGGTCCACCTAGTGCCTACAGGTAAGAAGTCTCCCAGCATTACCTCTTGCACACGGTTCCACTGTACACAGATAAGGGGCTGGGAGTAGACTGGTAAGGGGAAGCCTTTTTGCAAGGTCACTTGATTACAGAGGTAGGGCTTTATTATATCTGGAATGCTTTCCCTTATCACCTCCACACCTTCCTAGCTTCTCTCAAAGCTCAACACAAACATCCGCCTTCCATATAAGGTCTTTCCTGGTCCTCTCAACTGGTAGTACCTCCCCTCCCACCCCGAAATACCTTGCTTTTATTTTGTATATCACTATATAGGTAACATGTTGTTTCACTCGCTAGAACCTACACTAAGCTGGAGCCTGGCTGCAAAGCCCTCAAAAAATTATTGTTGATTGATTGATGCCTTCCACTATGAGTCTGCCCCCAATGTCAGTTGAGAGAGAGAGAGAGGCAGAGACACACATAGACAGAGAGAGAGACAGAGAGAGGGAGCTCAAATGATCCCATCAGAGATGACAGTCTAGCTTTATCACTTGGCTGCAGCAGGGACAATGGACATTGGTGAAGCTAAGTTTCCACCCACCTTTCCCTTCCACTCCCTTGGTGTCTTCATGATCTTGGGCACCTGACATTCCCTCATTGCACTGAGTGTGGCTGAGTCCTAGGTCTAGATGGGGAGTCTCAAAGGGCTGAGATCTTATTTGGATGCTCAGATGTGTTGAGAGTGGTGCTTATGGCAACGTCAGCAACCCAGGTTGAGCAGACACCCTTTCCCAATGCCATGGAGAGTTCATACATACACATCCTCTGAGGAAGGAAGTAGTAAGTAGCACTTTCTAGGGTAGCCTTGGCCCTATAATTTGTGTGCAGAGGGAGGGTATCCATTCACTCAGGGTCACATCCCTGCTGGAAGAAACACCTTGATCCTCTCTGAACTCCAGCTGAAAAAGATGACTGAAGGGCCATTTTGATCATGCTTGTCATGGGGCTTGGTTTGAGCTGCCCCAGACCCAAGTATAGCTAGCTACACATTTTCCTATTTAGCTGTTTATCAGGGGAAAAGTTTAAATAAAATCCTGGAAGACAGATTCAGACCAGGGTGCCGAAGTTTCTTGGGTACATCTCAATCTTTTTGAGTTTGAGTACCAGGCAAGCAGCCAGACTTCCCTACAAGTAACTCTTTTGGGACACTCTCAGAAACATGGGGCTAAAGGGACCCGGGATGGGACTGTTTGAGAAAGAGCTCACCATAAATGGCATCTTCTTTTTCATGTTGACAGGTGAAAAAACTAGTGGGTCAGCGATGGCTACTCATGCCATAGTGGAGAAGAAATCAGTTGACACTGATGTCCGAGGAAAGTACAAGATAAATAACACATATGATAAGATATACAAGCCATTACCACCTGAAGTGATGGTCGAGCGGGCCTTGAAGATGGTGGGGAAGACTGTGCCCTATTGTGCCGTTCTCCAGAATTGTCAGGACTTTGTGATTAACCTGAGATATGGGGAACATCCGGAGGCCAGGCACTGGCAGAGCGGTCAGGTACATCACAGAGACTAGCTAACTAATACATGGTGGTTAAGTGATGAATTTTAGCAAATAACAAGGCACGCTTGTGGAGCTGGTGTAGACTTCCTGGGGTGCTTATGGTCAGAACCAAACAGAGCATGTGCACAATATCTGAGATCCATTTCCTCAGCTCAGCCCTGGGCATGGGCCTTCTCACTTTAAACTCAGTTTTCCCATCTGGGGATGTCAGTGTTCTTTCCTTGGGAAAGAAAGTCTTTGCTTTTAAAGTTCTGGGAAGTTTTTGAACTGAAACAGGTGAAGCCTAATGTTCAGTGATCCCCCAGGGCCAAGTCCCCCTTTCTTTGAGGAAGGTTGTTCCACAGCCATTATTCCAGCTCAGAATAACATCTGAGAATAATCTGTCTTGGCTTCAGTCCAATCTACCACGTTAACGCATCAGAATTCACACATGGGTGATGGTGGAAGGGTGGCCAGATTTATTATCTTGAACATAATGCTGGTGGGTTAGAGCTTCCTTATGGGTCCCTAAAGAACTTGCAAAACCCGTTTCTTTTCATCAGACCCTCCATACTATTCATCATGAGGTCTTTAAATTCTCCACTTCATTCAACAATTGCATAAGAACCATGAGAAATCCTTGGGCTCGCAAGGATGCTTCTCTGACCTAGACTGCCCTAGAAAAGCCCCTCTTGACCGTCTTCTTTCCACCTCCTCTTCCCATTCTCCTATCGGCTTTAAGTACCCCTAGGCTGCAGACATGGTTGGTCCCCATCTGGGTTTATCCCAGTTTGATTTCTTCCGTCTCCTCCCCTCTCTGTGGTGTGGCTGCTCCAAGTCCCTGGGCTCCCTCTTCATTTTGTTGGCTCCTTTCTTTTCCCAAGGGAGCTAGCCCGAGCAGAGTACTTGATTGGAGTGAAGACTAGCAGGCTTCAACGCTGACCAGCCTTCCTTTCTCTTCGCAGGTCTGTGGTGAGAGAATCACTGGGATACTTGGTGCTGTGCTTTCTTGTTGGCTTCATGGTGCTTACATGATGACTTTGAGAGACAGACGCCAAAATCATCACGGCCACCTCCATTATGGTAGCATGGCTGGGCTGCAGCTTTGATTTAGCCATGTGGCTTGTAGTCAGAGACATATATCCACATCTATCTATCTATCTATCTATATCTATATGTGAAAATAAAGACGTGTGTGTGTGTGTGTGTGTGTGTGTGTGTGAGTGTGTGTGTGAAAATAAAGTCTTCCCAGTTTTTTCCTCCAGGAGTGCTGGAGTGTATGCTTTGCCCCAAGCACTAAGAAGCCAACTCTTTAGAACCCAAAGCAGGGTCACCTCTAGCTGAATGTAATAGTTCTTCTGGCAAGGCTTGGACAAGATGCCTTGCTAAATACCCTGGGAGATGGAGTCCTTCCCGGATTGGGAACAGAGCAATCTAGCCCAGCAGGACTGGAGGGTGTAGTGTTTTCCCTACGGTGGGAGTCTGGAGGATCTCTCTTGAGAGGGCACTCAGGAAGAAGGGAGGTATCACTCAGGTGGTAAACGTCAGAGGCAGGATCTGAACCCGGGTCCTTTGACTCCAGAACTAGTGTTCCATCCACTGAACCAAGGTGGCAGCAGCCACATCCTACTATGTGCCAGGCACTATTAAGCCACGGGGAGCCTGGGGGGCGGGGAACACAAGTAAACATGAAAGACCTGCCCTCAAGGAGCTCACATTCCACTGGGGAAGATGACATGCGAACATTCCACTGTGTTCAAAATGCACAAAAATGCCAAGCCATGTTGTAGGCAGACATCAGCAGCCGCGGGGCCCTAAAAGGCCACGTGGAGAAGGCGGGCTGAGCCACCCTGAGCTAGGGATGCCAGCTAGAAGGCAGTGGCGAGGGCATTCTAGGCGTGGGAGCTGGGCAACTAATCTTCAAGATCGCCCAGAAGGGATCATTTTCTATTCTTATTTTTTGGCTCATTCCTCCCTCCACCTCTCTCCCCTAACTTATCTCTGGCAAATCCCCCAACAGAGTTCATGTCTAGGTTACCACAGATGTTAGTAACAGGGTGCCTGGCTCCCGTGCAGGCACCCAGAGCAATACATCCCTGTGGGTAGAGGGCAGCCTTTATTTTACCCCACAGAAAATATAAAAAGGGACCATACAATTGATGCTGAAAACACCCAAAGCCCTCAAATAGCCCATAAATTTTCCTGAACTTAGGGTTGTCTGTGGGGCAAGCCCTTGGCATTCTGGACAGTCTCTCGTTCTCCAAGGGAAAATCCCTCTCAAGAATTATAGCAGCATTCTGTGATCTGCACACCCTCCAGGACAGAAACGTACTTGTGGCTGCTGAACAGGCTCCTCTTTCCCCAGATATGTGCTGGCCAAATTAGTCGTGGTATGAGTAGGGAGTAAGCACCAGTCTTCTGCTACCTTATCCCATGTGGTCACTGTTCTCTGGCTTCAGGGACTACATGGGCAATCCTGTTCTTTCTCTAAGTGACATGTCACAATAGGAAGTTCCCCTGTCTTTCTAGAAGCCAGGTCCTACTCATATGGTCTCTGATAGAATCCTAATAAAGTTGCCCCCAGCCCCAGTATACCAATTTCCTTATGAGCCCCAATGAACAGCAGGCACGGGCCTGATTTAACCACACCACAGGCCCCCAGACTCAATATGGCCACTTCCATTACCTAGCCACTGCTCCCAGCTGCCCCCAGATTCAATTCTCATGCTTAAACAGGCGTGCCCACGCACTCAACCACAATCACACCATCCATTTAGCTCAAAACAAATTAGACGGAACCACAACAGCTAGCCAATCAGAAAGCAGCCCAACTAGGATGTTCAATCACCAAACCACAGAAGGCTGCCCCAGCCAAGGTAGCACCTGTCCTGCAATAGTAAACTTACGACCTAGAGAGGTTTATTATGTCATTATCATACATAAATGCTGCCCCCCATGGGTTTGTCTACATGCATTGTGGGTAATCGCGTGTGCAATTCCACTGAGGATGGGACTCCCCCTCATTACCTAATCCCTTAACAAATCCCTCCTGCTTTTTAATATTCATAATTTCTGTTATGTAATTGCATCTCTACCCTATAAAAATCCATCTTGCTTTCAGCCCGCTTCATGAGAGGCGTCAGTCTCAATAAATGTCTCTGCTTGGATTTGAGGCGGTCTGAGGCTGAATTCTTTTGAGACGACCCCCACAACACATCATGAAACCGTAACAGTCTTTAACTATTTGGCCTGACCCTTTCTTTTGCTCCCCCTTCGGTGGTTTCATTCATTCCTCTTCATTCACGGTCATAATTCAAACACACTTTAATTAAGTTACATTACTAGATGCATGGTAAAGGCAGAAGCATTAATAGGATACGATTCACAAGTTGTTAGACAGGTAAGAGGAAAACAGGAGAAGGGGATGGTCACCAGTGTTTACAGCTTCCTTTTGAATTCCTTCCTTGTGCCTCCCTCTGGCTTCAAGGAACGGCAGCCTCTTTTGCTGATCCTGGGGCACCTGGAAGCCAGTGGTGGGCTTGGGTGTCTCCACAGCCTTACTGGGGAAGCGGACATCATAGATCATAATCTTACATGTGGGATTATTCACAAGACAACCTGCCCTTTTCAGACTAGAAGGTTAGATTCTCAGATCACACTGCCTAGGAAATAAACTCCCCCTTTTTTTTTTTGGCTAGGCAATTGGGGTTAAGTGACTTGCCCAGGGTCACACAGCTAGTAAGTGTCATGTCTGAGGCCGGATTTGAACTCAGGTCCTCCTGACCCCAGGGCTGGTGCTCTATCCACTGTGCCACCTACCTGCCCCTAAACTCCCCTTTCCTGGCACAAGAATTTAGGGTTCAAGGATATCATCTGTGAACTCCTTCCTTGAGCCGAGTGGGCAAACACGTAATTACTTCTGGCAAATGTGGCAGGAACTCACTCTCTCAGCGGCTGCCAGCTCTTGGGTTGGAAGAGTCCATTATTCCCAGGTTTCCCATCTGACCAGGGTCAGAAAGCTGTGGGCAAACTCATGTGCTACTGCCCCACGGCCAATATGAATGGTTTCTGGGAAGAGGTGGAAGAGTCTGAGAAGTCACAGGCTTTGCATCACTCAGAACTCAGATCTACTTGACTGCACTCTGAAGAGGGAAAGAGGAAAAAGGGCTGAGAGTGGCCTCAAGGAGGCAGCTTCTCAGACAACTGGGGTAGAGGGAGGGAGGGAGGGTAGCCTTAGCCTCCTAATCAGGAGTTGTCAATTTTCCCTTTAACAAGATGCTGATGGACATCTCTACACTGTTTGAAAGGAGAGGTATGTATGCTTGTCAAACTGATTAAGGGAAACCCTTCTGATAGACCCCCTCTTACAAAAACAAAAATATAAGTGATCAAAAATCTTAGGAAAAACTTTTCCAAATCACTAACATTAGAGAAATGCAAATTAAAACAATTCTGAAGTCAAATTGACAAAAATTATAAAAGAGAAATGGCCAGTGGTATGAAATTGGAGGAAGATGGACACACTAACACACTTCTGCTAGAACTGTGAATCGGTCCAGATATTCTGGAAAACAATCTAGGCTTAAGTGAGACAAGTCATGGGAACTGTTCATTTCCAGTGTTAGCACTAATGAGCATCTAGACCAAAGACAGAAAGGGCCTATATACATGTGGCCATCTCTGATAGCACAGACCTGGGAATAAAGTTGATGTCCATTTACTGGGGACTGGCTGAATTGTGATCGAAAAACATAACAGAACAGTATTGTATTGTAAGTAACGCAGCCCAGGAAGACTGGGGTGATTGTGGGCCAACTCTAAAATTATATTTCAGAAAAGGTGGCAACCTGCATTGGTAAAGAGAGATTCTTTATCTGTGGGAAATCAGAGGTCCAGCTCTTATGTCTGTCCCTGTGAAGTAACAACAAATATGAGGAATTCTGACAACTGTGGGCAGACTTGTGTGTACCAATACAGAGCCACAAGGGCAGAAGAACTAGACGACAAGTGGATACTAACGTAAATGGAAACAACACCCAAAGCTGCTTACCTCGGTCACTGCACTGACCAATCACGAGGTCGCCAGACTGGCCAGGAGCTCAGCCGAAGGTACCCTGTCTAATCCTGCGCTGCCCCACCATAGGCTCAGACACATAGAACTGGGATGGACCTTAAGTGAGAAGGCAGCAAAGGGAGACGTCAGAAGGGAAGAAGATGTCCAGTGCCACAGAAGTGGGGACTGTTGAGTCATACGGACCTGTCATAGGCCTGGAAGCAAATCAGGATTAGTTGCATTCCATCACCCTTATCTGTGCCCTCGGGCTCTGATAAACTGTTATTGTTGGGGAATGATGGGGAGACACTGAAAACCCCTCTGGCCTTAACAATTAGACCCTTTAGGGCAAAGGTGGGAGGGGGAGAGAGCAGGCAGGGTCTGAGGCCTTGCAATCTGTCACAACCTGGCATCATAAAACTGTTTTCTCACAGGTTATGAGTGCACTCCTAGGAGATTAATCTGATGGCCTCCACTCCTATAAAGTGTTTATTAAAAACCATTTGATGACCACCACTCCTCCTGTTCTCCTCTTACCTGTCTGACCACTTCTAAGTTAAATTCCATCAATGCTTCTGCTTTTACTGTGCATTTACTAATGCATTTTAATTAAAGTATGTTTGAATTATGACCATGAATGAAGGGAAATGAATGAAACCATTTAAGGGCTGGGTCAGAATAGGTAGAGACCAAGTCAGAAATCGACAGACATGAATTCCTAGGCACGAGTCTGGGGTAGTGCCCGTCAGGCGAGGTAGAAAGCTATCAGTAACCAAAAACCAAGTGTAGCTATCCCAAATTAGCCTGGGCCAGCTATGGCTGCAGCCACTGCAAAAGGAATCAGAGGCAGACCTGCCCTTGTCCCAGCAATTTCCATGACGCTGATTTCTTGGTATTTAGATGTCTCTTGGCTTACAACCTGACTCTGCCTTCTGGCCTTCCCTCCCTGACCCTAGCTTGACCCCGACCTGAGGAATTTAGTTTGTACCTGATGGTCCGGGGTTCCAGCTCCCTTGATGTTTCTCAGTGTCTCCCATAAAGGTTCCATTCGGACCTCCCCTCTGGCTTCTGGAACTGCAGCCTCTTTGCCTGATCCTGGTAGACCTGGAGGCCAGAGGTCCACAGCCTTACTGGGGAAGGCGGAGAGGTGGGGCCATCAGAGGCCATTAGAGAAGGAACCTTCTGTCCTCTCCAACCCCCTCATCTTGGAGAGGAGGAAAAAGAGGCTCAGAGAGGGTGAGAGTTTTGTCCAGAGTCATTCAGGAAGTGAGTGGCAGAGCCAAGAATCTCAGAGTGGGAAGAGACTCAGGGGCTTCCTTGTCTTCTCCAGCCCCTCACCCAGCGAGGGCTGTGGCTGCTTGGGACAGCTCTGTGTCACTGGCTGTCTCCTCCTCAAGAAGGTCTCCGGGGCTTACCAAAGTTTGTCACTTTACCCCCAAAGGATACTTTTCTGGAGGGGGGGAGTCACTCAATCTCTGGTGGGCACCCAGGTATCTCCTGGGGCCCCAGGCCCCTCCCTAGAGGGCATTTCTGGGTATCTAGAGGTACCCCCAAACTTCTCAAGGTGGTCCCTGGGTATTTAGAAGGGTCCCTAGACCTCCAAAGGAGTTCTTAAATATCTAGAGGGGCTCCAGACTACCCAAGAGGGTCCCTACATCTCTAGAGGACCCCCTAGGCCTCTGGAGGTAGGTCTTGGGACCTCAAGAGGGGGTTCCTGGGTGTCTAGAAGGGTCCTCAGGCCCCTAAAGGGGGTTCCTGGGTATCTGGAGGGGCATCCCCTGATCTCTAAGGGGCCCCTAGGCCTCTGGAGGAAGTCCCCGGACCTCTGCGGGGGGCCCCTTAGGCCTCAAGAAAGGGTCCCCACGTCTCTCGAAGGTCACTCGCTCCCACCCCTCATTTCAACAGGAGAGAACAGGCCCTGTCAGTCTTGGGCCTTTCCTCGGCAGACAGGGCCGGGGGACTGGGCCAGAGACCCCCGATCGCTCAGGACCGCGGCCCGGGAAAGACAGACAGAAAAAAAGCGAGACCCTCCCAGCCCCTCTAACGGCTACTGCGCAGGTGCCAGAGCTCCAGCTCCGCCCCCAACAAATGCGCAGGTCCCGGAGACATCCTGGTGTCCCTCTCCTCCTGCGCAGGCGTGTGAGAAGACGCTCGTGGAATGACAAGGCCGTGTCGTTCGCCCACAGCGCCGCCATGTGGCCGCTCCCTTTCTCTCCCTAGCCCAGGGTCGCCTCGTGCTTTCGCTTCTCCCCGGTGTCGTAGGACTTGAGACATCGTCTAGTCCTGGAGTTCTTAGCTTGGGCCCCATGAACTTGCTTTCAGATATTTCGGCAGCTGCATTTCCATAGAGTTGGTTTCCTTTGTCATCCTGTGCATCTTATTTTGCCAACTTAAAAACAGGACCCAGAAGGATTCAGAACCCTTGTTCAGCGGCAGGCGAGGGAGCCTCCAGCTGTGCCTGCATGGACAGAAACCCTCCAGGGAGCCCTTTGGAATCCCACTGCTAGTGGTAGGAGAGGACCTGCTTTGTCCGCACTCAGGCTCCTCAGCCTTCCTGGTGCTACCTGCGGTTCTGTCTGAGGACAAGAATATTCCCAACAATTCCTACTTTATCAAATGGCTTTAGCCCTCATTCCCAGAGGATCTGAATCTCCTTCCCCTGTCTGCATGATCCGAAAGGGACTGCTCACCTACAGATTAAATGGACCCCCTACTGCCGTGGAAACAGGTTAAAAAAAAAAAAGCTCAGGTCAACTTCTGGGAATCTCTGACCAGAAGTTTCTAACTGCCCCCACCCAAGAAGACCTCCACATACATCACTAGGTTCTAACTACACCTGTTCCTGGACAGAGATAATCACAGACACTCCTGCAACACTCTCTTCCTGCAATTCTGCTGTTCTGTGTATCCACTATACACATGACTATTTCCCAAGACTAAGCCCTATAAGAATCCCCTTTCTCCCCTCCTTTCCTGGACATCTCTGTCTGAAAAGACAGAACATTTTCCTGAAATGCAATTCCTCAACCCTAAATCCATGTCTTCATTTATTTACTGATCACCTAATTGGTCTGAATTTTCGTACTGGTTGACAATAGATCATCCATCCATCCATCCATCCATCCATCCATCCATCCATTCATCCATCCATCCATCCATCCTTCTATCTATCTATCTATCTATCCATCCATCTATCCATCTTTCTTTCTTTCTTTCTTTCTTTCTTTCTTTCTTTCTTTCTTTCTTTCTTTCTTTCTTTCTTTCTTTCTTTCTTCTTCTACGCATATGTGTACACACACACACACACACACACACACACACACAATGTCATCTCAGAAAGGACCAGCAGTGGAGGGGCCTGGAAAAGTCTCCTGTAAGAGGCCGGGTTTGAGCTGAGTCCTGAAGGCAGCCTGGCATTCCAGGCAGACAAGACAGCCAGTTCAAAGGCACTGAGATGGGGGTGGAGGGTCTTGCTTGGCCATGATAAACATCCAAGTGATTGTTGGCTGTGGGAGGGGAGTAAAGTGCAAGGAGACTGGCTGGGCCAGGTTCTCTGGGGCTTTAAGCACCAGAGGAGTTTCTCTCTTACCCTGGTGCTAGGAGATTGCTAATTATTTAAAGGGAACTGGGTGTTAATCATTGGTAGGTAATAGAATAGGAGCTGGAGACAGTAGCATTAAAGAAAGCCACCCCACTGTCCCTAAGGGATACCCCTAGAACCCAGAGCCTGTAGCCTTCCTGGCTCTTGAAGAGGGAGTTCAGAGCAATCACTACATTTACGAGAGGCAGGATAATGTATTAAGAGAGCTGGCCCTGAGTCAGGAAGACCTAAGTTCAAGGTTCTGCTTCTGACACACACTGGGTGTGTGATCCTGGTAAGTCAAGAAACTTCTCAGCATCCTAAGCTAGGGGTGGGGAAGCTGAGGGGTGGCTCTCTAGGTTCTCAGGTGCAGCCCTTTGACTGAATCCAAACTTCACAGAACAAGTCCCTTAATAACAGGATTTGTTTTGTAAAACTTAGACTCAGTCAAAAGGCCCCAGCCAAGGACCTAGAGGACCACAGATTTCCCACCCCTGCTCTAAGCAAATCTAAGATTTTAATTAAGATCTTTAATTAAGATTTTAATTGAAGAACAAATGGTAGAGGGAACTTACTCAATGGGAGTTCCCTGTACCAATGAAATCACAAGTCTGATTCATGGTGTGTGTGTGTGTGTGTGTGTGTGTGTGTGTGTGTGTGTGTGTGTGTGCACTCTCTTCCCTTTTGATATAAGTTCTTTGAGGGTAGGGACGGTTCCATTTTTGTCATTGTATCTTCAGTGCTTACCATAGTGCCTGGCACACAACAGGGTGCTTAATTAATGCTTGGGGTTTGAGTGGTTGACTTGGAATCATAGGCTCACAGGGCTTAGAACTGACCCAGTCCTTAGAGATCCTCTAATTCAGCTCCATCCTTTAAAAGATGGGGAAACAGGTTCTGCAAAGGAGAAGTGATTTGCCCAGGGGGTTACACTGGCTGTTAAATAACAGAGGGGATTTGAAACCTTTTTTTTTAAACTTCAAATCTAATGTTTTGTTTTGTTTTTTTGCCACAGTTGCCCTGTCACACAGGTTTCTAAACAGCAGAACTTTGGTTCAAATCTCATTCATTTATTTTCCTTTCTGTCCTTGATCTGATTTAGGCCACTGTCTATCAATAGCCCAGAGAAATCAATTTAGTAGCAAAGTCAGCAGGATCTTGTCTTGAGAACTGATTGGTGGCTTGCTGTAATCCAACCCTCCTCATGAATTTAGGGTCTGGTTTTAATCCTACCCAAATCAAACCCATTACCCTTTCCCCTAAACTAGAGGTTTTTAATTTGGGGTTCATGAACTTTCAAAAAATACTTTGGTCATGTGACTCTTTGTTACCCCATTTGGGATTTTCTTGGCAAAGGTACTGGAGTAGTTTGCCATTTCCTTCTCCAGTTCATTTTATAGATGAGGAAACTGAGGCAAACAGGGTTAAGTGACCTGCCCAGCATTACACAGCTAGTAAATGTCTGAGGCTGGGTTTGAATTCAGGACCATGAGGCTTTGTGACTCTAGGCCCAGTCCTCTATCCATTTCGCCACCTAGCTTCAGAGTTAGGTTCCTGTTGGTGGGAATAATGAATCCTATGAAATGGTTACATTATTCAAATTCAATGCCTGTTTACATTGGGCTGGAACCAGTGACCATGTTTCACATAATTATAACTTCAAATAGTGTGAATTCAAATGCAAGCAACCACTTCACAGGGATTCATTATTTGTACTTACTGGGACCTAGCTATATTTCAATACAATTGCTTACCTTTGTAATCTTATGAATGTTATTTTATACACTTAAAAAAACATTATTCGGAAAAGCCTTCATCAGACTCACAGCCAGAGGGGTGTGGGACAGAAAAAAGATTCCTCACCCTAAACCACTAACTGCATGGGGAGCTTGGAAGCCAAGGCCGTGAATCTCTTTGGTGTTAGATAGTTTAATCTGTGCTGATCCCCATCTTTAATCTGGATTCCCCCCCCCCCCGGCTCCAAGAATCTGCTCTACTAGTTGAGACTCCAATCCCAGGCCCCTATGCCATGCCCGGATAGCAGGGCAACTAAGAGGGACATCTAAAGGGTGAGGTAGGGTTGTTTGGGATTCGCTGCTGAGATGGTGGTGACGGGCATCTGGGGCGTCCTGGAAAGATACTACCAAGCTGCTTCAGGAAGGGTGGCCGGCCCCCCTCCCCTGTGAGGGATTCTTTGAGTAGCAGGGGGGAGTCTCCTGCCTGGCAGGGAGGTGGAGAAGGTGCCACACCTGCCTCCCCGGAGATAGTGGTGTTGTTTGCCCTTCATTCTGGAAGAGGACCATGACATCAGGGACGTGATGCCATGACATGCAAGTGATTAGATTTAAGTGCAGCAGAGCTGTGCAGTCACCAGCCTCACTTTCTCTTCCGGAGCCATCTGGGTTCAATGGTGAGGTCTAAATCAGGAAGACTGGCAATGGCCCCATGCAGTGGGGGACCTTGGCTTTTTTAAGCTAAGGTCTTTCATGAGTCCCAGTTTGAAGCAACTCCCATTGAGTGATTAAGGCTAGGTAAGCCCCCAGAGGTACAGAGTGAGGGGGAAGCAGAGGGAAGGAAGATTGTGAGCCAACGAGTGAACTCTGTAAGAACTGAGGGGCAACGGACCTGGGGGCCGACAGAGAGTGTTTCGAGACACATCTAGAGTAAGGGAACAACAAATTCAAAGGGACAGTTTGTGTGGGCAATGAGATACGTGGAGCCTCAAAGGGACCCCTTCCCAACTTCAGGCCGTGGTAGGGCCCCTGAACTGGAACTGGAAGGGGCCTTCACCTGGCACAAAGTAAGTGCTTAACAAATGCTTAAAGTTCCTTGGTCCAACTCTGAGGTCCAGAAACAGAAAGTACTTGCCCAAGGTCACACAATAAGTGGCAGAGCCAGAATTCAAGCCCAGGCCCTCGGACTCCAGAGCCAGGATTTCCCCGCTGGACTCCACTGCTGCTGTGCAAATAAACAGAGCTGTGACTGAGGTGAGGCAGCCACGTTTGGAGGGAGTTGAGAGCCCAGGACTTCTCCCCCTCCTCTCCCGGCTAGGGCCACTAAACTGAAGTTGTCTTAAAAAGTTGCTTGAGGGCACATGTCGGCATGATGCTCACCTTGGCAGCGTGGGACTTTAGCGCCTCCCACTGGCTACTGATGGTTCTACAAGTGAGTATGGCTCATGAGTGAGCCAGGGGATCCCAGTGTGGGCCATGAGAGGGGTCTGCCCTTTAATCAGTAATGATAGCTAGCACTGTTTTTGATCCTCACAGCAACCCTGTGACGTAGGTGCTATGATTATCCTCATTTTGTAGGCGAGGAAACCGAGGCAAACAGGTTAAATGACTTGTCCAGGGTCACACAGCTAGTGTCTGAGGCTAAATTTGAACTTGGGTTTTCCTGACTTCAAGCCTAACATTCAATGCCCAGTGAGCCACCTAGCTGCCCAGAAAGTCTAGGGTCCAGGGTTTAGGGGACCCAAGGGCCTAGAGGCTGGGGCACATTTCCCTGGTGGGGCTCACTTCCTTTGGGGCATCCTTCATGTCTGCATTTCTCTAGCCAGGTGGAAACAGTGGAGAGAGAGAGAGAGAGAGAGAGAGAGAGAGAGAGAGAGAGAGAGAGAGAGAGAGAGAGAGAGAGAAAGAGAGAGTGTGTGTGTGTGTGTGTGTGTGTGTGTGTGTGTATGTGTGTGCATGCACGTGCAGGGGTCAGGCATCGTGGGCCTGACATGTCACGGAAAGAGGATTGGGGTGTTTCAGAATTGCAGGATATTCAGATCACAACCCGTACCTGCCTTAACATCCCTGGCAAATGGTCTTCACTCACTTCCCAAGGTGGCCATTCCTCTTGGGGACGGCTTTCCTCCAATTAAGCTTAAATCTGTCCCTTTGTAGCTCTCCCTATTCTCCCCTCCTCTCCCCTCCCACCTTACAACTTCCCTCCTCTGCTCCTGTTTTTACCTTTGCAGATGGCCCCTCTGGGGCCAAAGGGAACAAGGCCAATCCTTGTCCCACGAGGCTACCCTTCAGATATGTGGAGACCACTTTCATGACTGCTCTTTTCCAGGTTAAATGTGCCCAGTTCCTTCAACCTTTCCTCACAGAACATGGACTCAAGGCGCCTCACCATCCTCTGGACCCTCCTCCCGACCCTCTTCAGCTTCTCAGTGGTCTTTCTTAAGCTTCGGTCCCTAAAATGGAGCACAGCATTCCAGATGTTGCCTGACCAGGACAGAGGACAGAGGGAATATCGCTTCCACTTTCCTGGTCTTATTCCTTTTCCCTCCCCCATTTATATAATTATATTTAATAAAATAGTTTATATTTATAACTTTAAAAATGAACTCCTTTTTTTTGTTCCCAACTAGCCTCCTTCCCCAGCTCCAGCTTATTCTAAGCATTCCCAACGACTTACTGGCCCTGCTTCCAACTTGTCACCCTCATTCCTGGCCCTCGCCTCATTGATTGCTATCTCTTCCTCCACCCGCACCCCCTGGTAATCAGGGAGCTGGAGTTCTGACCACATTCCATGGTTGCCAAGATGCAGCCCAGGCTGGTCCTATTGGAGGCCAAGAGTAGGAAGCAGGGAAACTGCTGAGGGAGTGAGTGTGGTGGGCAGTTGGAGTGGGGGTCTAGGCTTCCAAGGGGGTGGTAGAAAGTTCGAGGCTTCTTAGACTAAGACTTGTGGATGGAAAAGGAGACGGGAGACTCGGAGCTCAAAGAGGCTGAATTGTTCCCAGGGAACGGGAAGCTGGACTATGGTAAGGAAGACCAGAGAGGGAAGGCCTCACCTAGGCCTCCACTCAATGAAAGCCCCAGAAAGGAGGAAAGGAAGGAACAGAAGGAAAGAAGGAGAGAATGAAGGGCAGAGGCAAGGAGGGCTCAGAGCCAAGCAATTGAAGTCTGCTGCTGCTGCTTATTAACCATGAGAGGCTGGGCAAGCCCCTCCCCGTCTCTGGGTGGTAGTGCCCCCTCTGCAGAATGCAGGGTTTGGACCAAACGGTCATTGGGCCAGATGCTCGCTCTCTAAATCCTGACATCCCATATTCAGGAAACATAAAGGTGGGGGAGGGGAAGACATTCCCCAGGGTAGTCATGGCCCCAGCAGGAGGAGAGGTGGCTGCTTATGGCTGGGGATGAGGGACCAGGGTTCCTGGGCACACCCCTTCCTCTGTCCCAGGGAGGACAGGCCCTGGCTCAGGCACCTGCTTTTCCTGCTTTTCTTTGATCGAGTCACAGTTCTTTGTGGCGTGGTCTGAAAAAGAGAATGATGCTTGATTAGGATGATGGTGAAGACCTCAATCTACATTGTGATTTTTTTTTGTTGTTGTTGTCAAACATCTCGCTTTGGACAATTCTGCAGCTGGCATTTTGGAAGGAGTGCTAGCCTAGATTCACGGTTCAAATCCTGGCTTGGGCACCTAACAGGTGTCTGGCCTTGAGTGATTTGTGGGGAAGGAAAGCATCAGTGTGCTCATCTGCAAAATGGGTATAAGGATAACTCACACTGCTGTTGGCTGTTCAGAGGAAAACAGAGGAACACACCTTTGAAACCTTTCAAGAACAATAGCATGTGCTCCTTTAAAAATCATTTTTGTTGATATTGGACCATTTCGGTTGTGTCTGACTCTTTGTGACCCCATTGGGGTTTTCTTGGCAAAGACGCTGGGGTGCTTGGCCATTTCCTTTTCCAGCTCATTTTACAGATGAGGAAACTGAGGCAAACAGGGTTAAGGGACTTTCCCAGGGTCACACAGCTAGGAAGCGTCTGAGGCTGGATTTAAACTTAGAAAGATGAGTCTTCCTGACTTCAGGTCCGGTGCTCTCTCCACTGCACCGCCTAAATGATTAGATAAAACGCATCTAATGCTGTGATCGTGTCTGAAGGTACCTGCTGGTCTCTGTCTTTATGGTTTGCCATTTAACAGAAAGGGTCATGGGATTGTTGATTTAGGCCAGAAGGGACCTTAGAGGCCATGAGATCCAACCTCTGCCCTTGACAGATGAGGAAACTGAGGCACATACAAGGTTTGTTTGGACTTGAATCATTCATCCACTGTCATTGCCCCGAGTTTTGTGGCTGTCCAGTGTAGGACATTCCCTCTTTTCTAACATGACACCCTCCCTCTCCCCCCCAGACCCACCTCCCATGTCCAGGGATCAAATCAAGTCAGTGGCGAAGTCCGTGGAGTTGCTTCTGTCCGAGGCGGAGCAGATCCGGAATCGCTGTAAGCAGCAGAACGCGGATGCCCGCGTGTTGATGGAGGAGCTGCGTCAGGAGAACCGTGAGCTGGTGCAGCGCTACCAGCAGGCTGAGCACGAGATGGAGGAGGTGAAGAAGGCCCTGGGGGAGCTCATGGAAACCAAGGCGGCCTTCGATGCCCATGAGAGGCAGCTTCGAGAGGCAGCTGAACAGGGGCTGTGAGGGGCCGTGGCGATGGTGGGGAGCCCACTCTTCCAGGGGGCGGAGAGGGGCCTGTCTCTGGCCCCTGGCCTAGATAATCCTGCCTGCCCACTCGCTGGCCTTGTTAAGAGCTGCAGAACAAGCCTTCAAATAGAGCCGTTAAACCATATTCATATGAGCCATAGTCCTGAGAAACAGCTCCCCAGACACATCAGGGAGGTGGGATGCTTAGGATTGTAGATATGGAGCTGAAGGGACCTTAGTGGATACTTAGTCTAACTTCCTTAATTTTACAGACGAGGAAACTGGGGCTGAGCAAGGCAAATAAGGGTCTCAGGCAGGGTTTGGGCCCGAGTCTTCTTGACTCCAAGGCTGGCGCTCTACTGGATGGACAGCAGTAGCCCCACAGCTGGAGGTGGGGGGGGCGTCTCCTCTCCAAGGAGTGGGAAGTCTTCTGAAGTCCCCTTCAGTGTAGGAGAGAGAAGCCCAGAGGTTTATGCATCCTGACCACCCTAGGGAAGAACCGGCCCCAGAGGTTTGGGAGCATGTCCCCGCTCACCCAGGCTGTGGGAAGGGTTTAGTGGATTCCAATCTGGACCAGCAAAGAGCAGGGTCATGGCAGCCAAGAAAACCCCGTGAGATTTTAGGAAGCATTAGGAGGGCAGAACACTCAGAGCGACATCAAGTCAAGCTTTTATTAAGTACCTACTGTGTGCCAGGCACTGTGCTGAGTGCTGCTGGGATACAAAGAAAGACAAACATCTCTTGTCACTAGCCTCTGTTGGGCCTCCCTGTGTCCTGCCCTGGTTCAGGTCACACACGGAGTATTACACTCTGTCTGTGCCTTAGGCCTGGCAGGGCCTAACCCCACAAGGCGTAAAGGTTACCTTCTCCCTTCCACTCCGAAAAACAAACACCAGTTCTCCCTCTACCTAGTGGATTGGCATGCATCCCTGGCGAAGCATGAGTCAGCCCAAGATCTCTGCTAGTTTGATCAGGCACCCCTAGGGTGAGAGGGTGGGCATCCCTGCACCTCTGAAGCCAGCTGGGGAATGAAGCCAGCATAAGATTCAGGAATCGGACGGGGCAGCTGACAGAGGCCCAGGCTCCCGATGGACAGGCCCTGGGGTGGCCCAGGGCCAGGGATGCTCCCGTGGGCCCCTAGCACCAGACGCAGTAGAGCTCCACGCTGCCGCTGATCCGAATCTCCCGGAGGCGCCCAAGGGCCCGCTGCCCCAGGCTGGCTGCCCCCACTGCATTCCCATTCAGGGCCATCTTGAGGTCATTGTCCCTGCGCAGGAGCAGAACCTAGGGAACAAAGATGGAGACTCGTGGGCTTGCTTAGGAAGCTGAGAGGGAGAGCGTCCTGGGCCCAGGGAGCTAGCACGTGGGGTCGCCCAGCTGGGACTGAGGCATCCAAGGCTCTAGGGCTGGATGGGGCTTCAGAAGCCATGTGGTCTAGCCTCCTCCTCTCACACGTGAATAGACCCAGGCAGGAAGAAGTTCAGTGATTCGTCCCACACCAGGCAAGTGTCAGAGTCTGAATTCAAATCTGGATCTCCCGACTCACATTCTAGCTTTCTTTCACTTGGCCACATTCGTAATGACGATCTAGTAGAGAGGTCTCAGATTTCTCACTGTGCTGGTGTGGCTATGCCCTTCACCCATGCTGATAGCAGCCCTCCCTCTTCTAACTCAGATGGTTTTGGAGGATTGTTGTGGCTGAAAAACTTTTCCTCCTGTGACACCCATGGAGCTGGGCTGGTCTTCAGGCAACAGATATGCAGCCCAAACCTGGACTCAGTCAACCCGGAGAACCCAACCCAGCTTCTTGACACCAGGAAGCATCAGCAGGAGGCATTAGTATAGATGTTTTTTCTTTTTGAACAGGACTAGTGATTTCTTTGGTACTGGGAGCTCCAGGGGAGGAAGGGGCAGGAAATCCTTCTCCCAAGCCAGGTCCACACTTAGCTGGCAACTTCCAGCCTTAGGGAGTTGCCCAGGGCACAGAGATGTTAAGTCCATTGCCCAGGATCCCATATAACCAAGTAATGCTTCAGAGTCCGTGGGTCTTGAACCCAGAGCTTCCTGACTCTGAGGGAAGTTCTCTCTCCACTATCCAAAGCTATCTGTATTTATTTCCTCTTAGTAATATGACCACATTAACGGGACGGAAAATAGAGGAGCCCTACCTAGTTCTGCCTCTTCACCAAAAACCTCTATGAGTTTCAGCAAATGACTTCCTTTCTCCATGTCCCCATCGATCAAATGAGGCTGTTGGAGGAGGTGCCAGCCATGCTACTCCTCTCCTCATGCCTCACTCTGTGGCATCCCTCCACTCATCCTTAGAGACCAATGTTTGGGGGTGAATTTAGGAAAACAGAGCACCTCGCCAGAGGCCCAGCAGCCCCTGCCTCTTCAATGCCTTACCTCGAAGAAGCGCTGTGGGTGAAAGAGGAAAGGGGCCGAGATGGGCTCCTTCCGGCCCCATGGGGAGATCCAAGCCAATGTCCTATTCCTAAAGCAAACCTTAAGCGTCACAGTGGGGTGGGTGGAATCGTCCCGCAGGCTCAGTGTGAATCTGGACCACAGAAAAGGGAGGAAAAGGCAGGGAGATGGGGAGAGGGCACGCTTGGCTAAATCCCTGGAATGGATTCTGGGGATCTCGTGGGCAGATTCGTGCCTATCCAAGAGCTTTTGAGGCTGGTAGATCTGGTCCTATCAGAATGTGGAGATACTAGAGGCTCCCTCTAAGCCCCTGGGCTCCCTCCTCCAGGCATTTCAGCCAGAACCACCCACAGAGGACACGATGTCTACACCATGCACAAGGTAGGTTCTTTAGAAGGAGAAGAGACTTCAGATAGAAAGGACATGCCCAAGGTCACACAGGTATTAAGTGGCACAATTAGTGTCAAATCTGGTGCTCTGTCCAAGGCAGACACTGATTTAAGTAGCAGTAGTTGGCTAAAGAAGCTAAGACCTCTCGTTACTCCCAACTACTCTCCTTCCCACCCAAAGAAGGAAGTGACTTTCCATAAGATCTCATCCACTTTAGCACAAAAGCATTAATCTCTACCAGCCGTTGGAATCTGTGTGTCTGATTGCAGCCTTGGCACAGTCTGGGGCATTCTGTCCCGTGCCAGCTGGGGCTAATGTGAAATAGGGCACAGGGGAAAGGGACTGGATTTGGTTTCTTATGGCAGAGAGGGTACAGTTAAAGAGCCAGAGGTCCTGAGATTCACATTCTGACTCTATCACTTCCTACTGTGTGACCTTGAGTAAGTCACTTCCTTCTCTGAGCCTCAGTTTCTTCCTCTATAGTACGAGGGGCTTTAAATGGGGTGGGCTTCAAGGTCCCATCAGAGCCTATGAATGGTACCTTGGGCACGTTCCTTCCCTGCTCCTCACTAGGTTTCTCCATCCAAAATAAGGAGGGGGTGGATGAGAGGATCTCTAAGGTTCCCCCTTGACCTTAGAGTTCTTCATGGGACTCGGGGACCCCTCTTCTGGGATGAACACTTGTGCACCTCTACCCTGGTCACCAAACTCTGTACAGGGGACTCACTCCCTCTCTTCCCCCTTGGACCACTCACTTCCTCCATCCTGCCAGTACCTACTCCTGAGGGTTGGGACAGATGAGGCCCCGCACCACGAAGACCTGTCCTGGCCACAGTCCCCTGGGAAGAGGCCAAGTGCAAGGAACTGCCTGAAAGGACAAGGGAGAGTTATAGAGATCCCAGGTGACCCTGGTTCAGAGATTGCCCCCAAGGAGAAGAGGCTGACCCAAGGGGAAACAGGAAACTCACCCCCAAGGATGCCCTCCCCCACTCCATTCAAGACCATAGCTTCTTACTGAACACTCCCCACCCACAAATCCTCCAGGTGACAGCAAGAAAGGCAGCTTCAGGCTGTGGGCCCTCAAGCCTGGAAAAGATTTCAAGGACAAAACCAGGCCTGTCTGCCCTTGGGGCCATGTTTCTAGAAAACCTCCAGGACCCTCATCCCTCTGAATTTAGTGCACATTTATATGGCAGGGCACCATGCCTGGTGCTGAGGCTATGGGAAAAAAAAGTACTCCCTGCCCTCAGGGAGCTTCCAGTCTCATCAGGCCCTCCCGCACAGCTGTACCTGCAGCAGCCAGCTTCTTGACAAGAAAAGGGAGGAGGCTGGGAAGAAGCTTTGGTCTTCCTCTTAAACCCTAACCGGGTGGGGGTCTTTTCAGCCTTGAACCCCCCTGCTCCCAGCCTTCGGGCTCCCCAGGAGTAGAGGGTTCCTGAAGACAGGAGGAAAGTCTCACTCACCAGTCTGGAGCTTTTCAGCAAGAAAGGCTGTCAAGGGAAAGGGAGCTGGTGAGAGCCTGTCTCCCTCATCTGAGCAGCATCCCTCCCCTCCCCTTCCCCAGTGCCTCCAGCCTCGTGGTGAGCTCCTCTGGATGCCTGGTCTGGCCTCATCCGGGCTCCCCAGCTCTTCTCCACTGGGCCAAGGAGAAGGGACTTTTGTGCAGAAAAGGCAGAGTTCAAGATCAGGCCGAGGGGGCGGGGAGCCAAAGCATGCCTGACCCTGGGCCTGGGAGAGTCCCCTTGGACCGTGGCAGTAAGAGAAAGGGCATCCCTGGACTTGTGCAAGATGAGAATGGGATTGGGTGGGAAGGAGGGAGGGGCATCGGCCACCCTTTGCACACAGTAACCTCCCCCCTCCCCCCAGGCTTAGGTCCCTCCCCACCTGGGAAGGGCTTGGAGAGGGAACAGCTCAGGGGGCTGAGGGAGCACAGCCAGCTGCTCAAGGCTGATCCCTGGGCAGAGCTGGAAAGCCCCCTTTATACTCACATGTCCAGCTGGGTACTCTGTTCCACCCTCCACAAAGGGCTGTCCATAGAAAGACAAGGGTGGGGGCACTGTGGCCAGCAAACATCCCTAAGTGCCCTTCAGAGAATCTAGAGCTTTCCCCCACATACTGGGGCCTTATACTGCCCAGGAAGACTATTTGCTACTCGGCACAAAGAGGGGTCTTGTCTTTTTCCTTTGTGCCCACAGGGCCTGTCAATGCCCGAGAAGCCATCTGCTCCACCCAAGCAAGAGCTCACAGCTTTCCCTTCCTGGCCCCTCCCCTGCAGATCATTCCGTGCCTCTGTAATTGTATAACAGGCTTGCCTCTTCTCTCCCTGACTGACTCCCAGAGAGTGCCAGAAAGCCCAGGCCTGCAGGATGGACAGTCCTGCTGCCCCTGGCCTGGGTTCCCAGAGGTAGTTACATTGCTATTGAGGAATCCGACGGCTTTCACAAAAACATGGCCGTAGATGCCCAGGGTGTCCACTCTTGACAGTGGGAGCCGGTAGGGATAGTGGAGGAAGTGTCGGCCATTCACGCTCACCTGGAGCGAAAGCTGGCCTAAGCTCTCTCCACCTCCAGCCAGCTGCCACCCGCTGCTTCACTTGTGGGCTGAGGAATGACCTGAGCAGACACCGGCGGTCTTCTGGGAAGGATCTTAACTCCGCTGCAAGTGCTGGATATTGAAGAATTCCCCCTCACGCCTCCCTTAGTCTGCACTGGCCTTCCTTCCTCCTCTTCCCATTCTCGTTCTCTGTCTCCCCCTTTTTCCTAGACGTCCTGGCCTCCTTTCCCTCCCCCCTTTCCTCCTTCTCCCTCCCTCCCTCTTCCCTCCTCCTCTTTTTTCTCCTTCGCTCCTTCCCCCTCTTCGTCCATCCCTGCTTTCTTCTTTCCCTCCTTCCCTCCTCTTGCTCCTCTTTTTTGCCTCTCCCTCCCAGACTGAGGACAGCCCAGGGCTCCCTACTGCCTACTTCACCTATTAATTACCTTCACGTGCTCATTTCCAAAGAGGAAGAGGATCAGGAAGCCGTCCCCTTTGCCCAGGGCCAGCTCGGGCCAGCGTGCCTCCCACTGCCATCGCCCTCGGTGCAGGGTGTTGCAGATGACATGGGGCTTAGTGGTGTAGAATCGAGGGTTAAAATGAACGGCTATATCTGGCCGGGGCTGCAGGCTGCAGCCACACTGGAAATCGATCTGAAACCTGGCGGGAAAGGGTAGTGAGGGACGGGAGATGCCGACTAGCCCAGATGCCCCGGAGCCCCCAGAGCCTTGACTCGGGGGTAACAGGACCGACATTGGGCAGCACCCAAGGCCCTCTGCAATCAGGCCAAGCAGTTATTGTTCTGGGTCCTATGGAGCAAAGCAAGTAACCTCGTCCCCTTCCCCGTTGTTACCTTCTGGGGAGCTGATGAGGGTGATGGAGCCCTCTAGATACCAGGAACTTGAGCCCCCTTACCTCTGAGCATCAGGTGGGACCACGCCCTGGACCACGACCATCTTCCCAGCATGAAGGCCACCAAAGATTGTTGTGACATAGGGGATTACCTGAACCAGACAGGGAAACAAAGTCGTGAGCTAGGGGAGGAGATGAGGCAGGGTACCCACCCTAGAGGTGGGAAGACTGGAGAGAGACATTCTGAAGTCAGTTTGCGTTAAAGGCAACAATATGTAATGAAAAGACAGCAGGACATAAGGTCAAAAAGAGATGTGGCCTTGAACTCTCCCTCTACCACTTACTGGTTGTACAACCATGGGAAAGTCTAAATGACTTCTCTGACCCTCAGGGTGCTCTTCTATCAGGTGGGCTCTCAAAGAGAGCCTCAACATGAAGAGCTTTGCAGCTTTAATGCACTGTGAAGTGCTGAATGTTGTCATTGCTGTTGGTAGAGGGCATTCTTGATTTTGGAAGAATCAAAGTCCTTATATGAAAAAAAGAAAAGGATTCTTCTGAATTTTTGTTTCCTTCCTCACCCAACCCCACATTTCACCTCCAGGGTGAGGTCAACGTGCATCATATGCACTGGGGTACCACGGTTCAGGAGGCCCAGCTCCCTGGGGCTAATCTCTTCAGCCCCCTGTGCCTCACATCCCAGTAGAATGTAAGCTCATGGAGGGTAGAAATGGCTTCATTTCGGGCCTAATAAATCAACGCGTTTTCATGGATTGATCACTAAGGTTTACATCTCCTGAGGGAAACAGCATGATATAGGGGACAGAGCTTTGCACCTGGAAGTGGAAGACTTGGGTTTGAATCCCGTCTCAGACATTTATTGGCTGTGTGCTGTTGCTGGTTAATGCCTTGCAGCCTGAGCTTCCACATCTGTAAAATGGGGAGAATAACACCTACCTTACCAAGCTGTTGTATAACAGCAACAACAATAGCTAGCATTTATATGATGCTTCAAGGTTTGTAAAGCTCTTTACACACAGGTCTTCACTTCTCTCTATTCCTAGAGCCCTCATTTCTTATGGCACAAAAATATTCCATTTTATTCATGCGCCACAGTTTATTCAGTTATTCCCCTGCTGATGGGCACCTGCTTTGTTTTCCAGTTTTTTACTGGTTGGTCAGATTTTAATTCCTTTTAAACTAGCAAGGTTTTATTTTTAGCTCATTTGCTGATATGTGACAAGTTATGGGCTGGGGGATTGACCCTGTGGATGGGCAGGACAGGGCTGACGGGGGGAGGAGTATCTCCACTTACCCCTAACTCTGCCAGAACCCTACTTTCCCATCTTGCTGCTCAGCCAGGCTTGGGCTACCCTGGGTTGTTAGAGCACCTCGATCTTAGAGCTCAGGACCCTGCCATCAACTCAGGCGTGAAAGCGGGGACCGAAGGGGTCCTGGAGGAGTGAGTCTCCAGAGGCCCACTTTATAGGGACAATGTGTGCAGAGAGCGCTCTCTCTCTGGAGATATCAGAGAAACACATCTCTTTTTTTATGTTCCCAGGTGCCGCCTGAGAATGATGCCAGCTTAGGTACCTAGCAAGATGTCCAGCTTATAAGAGCACTGGCAGGGAGAGGGCAGCCTGTTTCATCATGAATCGGAATTGTGGGCGGTTACTTTGTAGATCAGGGTTCTTGAGTCTTTCCAGATTTAGCAAGGATTTCTTAAATAATGCACACAGGGCTTTGTGCAGGGGAGACACCATCTCTACCTTGGAGGAACTTAGCAGGGGAATGGAGCCAGCCCACGAGTAGGCTGCTCCACCATGCTCCAAGGGCTATCCACCGCTTCTCTTACACAGATCATAGGAGGGAATGACCCATTTTACAGATGAAGAAACTCTTGCATTGCAGAGTCCAAATTACTCATTCGGGATCCCACAGATCATGGGATCTTTCTGAGGTCATGGCCAATAGGGTTACTGATTTACTTCATTACTGATTATTATTTGTCCCAAGGGGTTTAGTTCTGTCTCTCTATTTCTGTCTTCTAATTGTGAGGGTGGGAGAGAAAAATAGGGTTTTTTTTCTTATTTCAGAAAATCAAATATAATTAAAAATAAATATTTGCTTAATTGGATTTTCTTATGTATCAATTTTGTATTTGTCGCTGGCTTTCACGACCCTAGAGTGTAAACTCCTTGAGAGCAAGGATTATTGTTTTGGCTTTGTCTTCTCAGTGCCTAGGGCATAGAAGGTATATAGGAGCTAATAGGTAGCATTTAGACGGAGAGAGGGAAAGACATAGAGGTAGATGTATGCATACATAAATGTATATGCACATATGCAAATAGACACGTGCACGTACGTCTGAATGGCTCTAGATGGCCAGTCTGCCTAGTTAGTTACCCCCTCCTGGCTCTTAATGAATCAAAATTCCAGGGAGGAGGTGACCATATAAAGGCAAAGAGCTAATGAGAGTCCTGGGGTTTCACTAGCTCTCATTATATACCTCTCTTTCTCTCTCTCTCTCTATGTATGTATGCACATATTTATATGCATATGCATAGTATATATGTGTATGTACACACATATATAGTGCTTTGCAAAGCCTCAAAAATGCCATGTAAATGATACCTATTATTATACAGCTCTTTAAAGTTTGCAAAGCATTATCTATCTGATCTCATTTGATCCTCACAACCACCCTAAGAGGTTGGTGCCATTATTATCCCCATTATACAGAAACTGGGGCTCACAAAGGTTTGAATGACTGGTCCAATGTCTCACAAGAGGTAAGTATCTGAGGCTGGATTCAAACTCAGGTCTTCCTGACTCCAAGTCTATCATTCTATGCACCATGCTACCTTAATGTCGTTAATACAACCTTAATATTTCCTGATTGATTGAACTGAAACGTCCTCCCTGGATCTTTCTACTTCTGGCTCTAAAGGGCAGATCTGTTGCCTGATTTACTGCATCAACCAGATTAACATCGTTGGGAGTGAGGTGGGGAGAAAAGTGGGGGTGGGAGGCTCAGGTGGCTTAGCGGACCCTTCTGGGTCAGTCTGATGAAGCATTTAGCACTGAGAGTTAGATCCTCAATGCAAGGTCAGCTATCTGGTCCAATCATCACCCAGCATGCCCTCCTGGCTTCCGATGAACCAGAGTTTTAGATAGAGTTCTAGAGAGGGCGAAGAGCTAATTAGGGAACTCCGGGGTTTTATTAGCTCTCATTAATCTTCCTTACTTCCCATGGGAAAGGAGCATGTGCTTGGAGCTCAGCCCTTTCAAAGGCTTAATTCAGCCTTGGGCAAGTCATATAGAGAGCACTGAGCTGCCTGGGAAGTCCAGTAGAGGAGACTTCCTTGTTGGGGGAAAAGACCCTTTGACTTCCCTTGGGGAATAGAACAGATCTTCCCTAAAAGACTGGAAGCTAGCTATATAGAGAACAGATTCAGGTTTGAGGGTAAAAGCCATTCCCCAACTGATAAATGATCAAGGGATATGAACAGGCAGTTGTCAGAGGAAGGAATCCAAGTTATCAATAGCCAAATGGCCCAAGTCACTAATAACTAGAGAAATGCAAATGAAAGCAATTCTGTGGTTCCACTTTACACTCATCATATTGGCAAAGATGATGAAAAAAGGCAAATCACAGATGCTGGAAAGGTTGGTGGAAAAGCAGGCACTTTGGGGCCCTGCTGCTGGAGCTATGAGCCTGTCCTGCCATCCTGGAATTGATTTGGAACTGGAATTATCCCTGTAAAGTCACTAAATCTCTGTGACTCAGCTATACTCCAAAGAGATCAAAGAAAGAGGAGGAAGACTCATAGGTACAAAAATAGTTGTAGCAACTCTTTGTGGTGGTGAAGTACTGGGCACTGAAGAGGTATGCTTATCAGTTGGGAAACTCGGAACAGATAATGGTATGTGACTACGATAGAATATTATGGTGGTGTAAAAACACTAGAATATCCTGAGCAGTAAGAACTGATGCAGAGTAAAGTGAGCAGAACCAGGAGAAGCGTTTATACAAAAACAACACTGTAAGGCCAACCAGGTTTGAAAGACTTAAGAACTCTGGGCAACACAGTGACCAACCAGAATTTCAAGGCTTACCCAGCTCTGGATAGAGAGATGATGAACTCCTCAGGCAGAATGGGATTCACTTTTCTGAGCATGGCTGATAAGGGAATTTGTTTTGCTCAACCATATGTGTTCATTGCAAGGGCTTTCCTTTCCCTTTTCTTTTCAAGGGGGTGAAAGAAGGGGGAGGTGGCTAGGACAAACAAATAGATACTCAATAATTGAAAAAAAAAAGTGGGAGCAAGACTGAGTTTTGGGGGAGGGGGTGCTGCCTTCTTCACTCCAAAAATGTGGAATCACAGAATGTTAGAACTGAAGGGAACCTTAGAGATCATCTAATTTAATCTGTTCTACTTTCATATGGGTAACTAAGGCCTCTACAGGAGAAGAAGAGAATAATGGATAACGATAGCTGGGATGGTTGGCTCTGGAGTCAGAAAGACTTAAGTTCAAATCTTATCTCTGACACCTATTGGCTATATGACCTTGGGTAAGTCACTTAACCTCTCAGCGACTGACTTACAACACCTCCCACCCCCTCCTTAATTCCACAAGTAGAGGAAGTTGTTTTGCTCACTGGGAGCTCCCTACACTGATCCAAAAGAAAAAAAAAATAGGTCGTAGAGTGGGAAAGTATAAATGGTCAGTTTACCTCTTTAAGGATCATTTTCTTTCTCTGTAAAATAAGGAGGGTGGTCTATATGATATTAAGGGGCCCCTTTCCAATCCAAATCTAGAATTCTTTGGTCCTCCAACCAGGTGCCAGAGTCTGAAATGCTTCTGGGAAGGAGTAACACATAAGTCAGAATTAGAATGACAGAGATCATCTGTTTAGAGCTGAAAGAGGGCTCAGAGGTTCAGCCCCATTTACCATGTAGTCACAGCAGTAGTCATCCAGCTTGAAAGACCTCAAATGATGGGGATTTGTCCCCTTGCTTGTCCAAGGTTGCACGAAATAGCCATGGGAATAACAAATAACTAACTTAACTACCTTTAGGGTTTGCAAAGCACTTTACCAAGATCTCCCAGGAGCTTCAGAGCAACCTGGTGGGGGCAGGAACTCAAGGTACTATTATCTTCATTTTATAGAGAATACTGAGGCCCAGTGGGTAAGTCTCTTACTTGCAGTCAGAGAGCATTTAAGTGTCTGAGACAGGGTTCAAATTCCTGTCTTTCTGCTTCCAAAACAAGCGCTTTCCCCACTCCACCATGTGGCTTGTCACAAGAGTCAGGATTTGAACCCAGGACCCTCCAACTCCAGATTCAAGGTGCTTTCTACTCCTCTGAGGACAGGAGAATCGTCCATAGCCAGAGACCACTGGTGGTATGAAAGGGTTAAACTTGACCCACTTCACAGCATTCATCACCAGAATCTGGAGGTCAGAGCACTTGCGACCAAGAGTTCCCCAGCCAAGGAAACTACTCACGGGGTAAAGATTGGTGGCTGCAAGATGAAGCTGTCAGGAAGGGGATCCAGATGTCCTTCTCCTCGCCACATGGAGGGTGAGGGAGGCAGGGAGGGGCCGGGCAGCTCTCACTCCCTGGAGCTGCTCTCTCTGAGGTCGGGAGCTCTATTGGAGCTGCTGAGGCCAAGGTCAGGGGCTGGATCTGAATGTACCCAAAGCCCTTTCTCCCAGCTCTTGGCCTGGCCCAGTCCCTTCAGGGTCCTAATGCCCCTTTGTAGCCTCTGGCAAGAGCCCAGACTGCTGCTTGTAGGGAAGACCTTTCAGGAATCAGCCAGGCGCCCCTGCCTCCCGCTCCACCCTGCCAAGCCAACCCAGGCATCAGAGCATCACAGATTTAATCCTTCAAGACACTTTAGGGGTCAGTTCATCCCACCCTCTCATTTTACACATGGCCAAACGGAATCCCAGAGAATGTAATTCAATTCCACGTTTCTGAAGTGCCTACTGTGTGCCAGGCACTGTATTAGAATACGAAGTCCAAAAAGAAACAGTCCTTGCCCTCACGGACCTTAACTTGTGGGAGGGGGAAGGGTGGTGGTTAAGGGGGCAGGATGACATCCACAGATAAGAATATACAACATATATCCCCGACGTAGCTGCAATCCCACATCTGTCAGGGGGCCTTCCCTGGCGTCCCCCCTTGCTAGCACCTTCCCCACTAAGTTTGCCCTCCAGCAGCCCCAGGAGTTCTTAATCTTGGGTCTTGGACCCCTTGGCCGGTCTGGGGGAGACCGCTCCACAGAATAGCACTTAAAAAATTTTTTTTATTAATTTATTTTGATTTATTAACAATCACTTCCATATGTTTTTGAGTTGAAAATTTTTCTCCCCCTTCCTCCCCCCCACCCTCCCCAAGATGGTGCACAATCTGATATAGGCTTTACATTTACATACCTATTAAACATATTTTCACATTAGTGAAGTTGTAAGTAAAAATTAAAACCAATAGGAGGAACCGTCAGAAAGATGAAACTAAACTCAACAGAAGGTAAAAATAAGTGATAGTGATCTGACTTCCATAGTTCTTTCTTTGGATGTGGACAGCATTTTCCATCTCGAGGCCTCTGGAGATGTCTTAGATCCTCGTAATGCTGAGAAGGGTTCAGTTTAACAATCTTAGTCATTGCGTAACGTGGCTGTTATTGTGTACACAGTCCTCTTGGTTCTGCTCACTTCACTCAGCATCAGACAGAATAGCATTTTTAAAGACGAGTAAAATATACAAGATTAAAAAGGGAAATAAAACATTATGTTGAATTATAGGTATCAAAATGTTTTCACTAAAAGTTCATGGCCTCTGAATGTACCCTTAATGCATCTTGCAGAAAGCTAGTGATTTACGTGTTGCTCCCTCCCATTAGAAGGCGAGCTTTTGGAGGACAGGAACTGTTTTTGCCTCACCCTCCTCCCCTCCCTTTTTTGCATCCTTAGAGCTTAGCGCATTGCCTGGCTAGCAGTAAGCACTTAGCATAGGCTTGCTCACTTGCAGTGACTCAGAGCATTCACAAGGGCAAGCAAGGTCTTTCCCAAGGTCTCCCAGTAGTAGGGAGCAGTGGGGATTTGAACCTATGCCTCTCCACTGTTCCAGACTCTCTAAAAGGGGGAGATGATTTGCCCAAGGTCACATAGTGACACCTATGGGAATCATGGAATCCTAAGAGAGCCAGAAGGGGCCTTGGAAGTCATCTGCTTCAACCTCTTCATTTTGTAGATTTGGAAGCTGAGGTCCTAGCTAGGGAAATGACTTGCTCAAGGTCATCCAGCTAACAGATGGGGGGGCAGGGTCTGAACGCTCTCCCTTCATCCTTCCCCCTGTACCATTTCCCCCCATTTCTCCCCAGTTCCTGCTGGAGCCTTGACCTTAGTTGGCATCCAGAAGACTTGGCCAAATGGTGTGCAGTCATGCTCTCAGAATCCAGGCTGAAGAAGTTAACCCTTTCAGATTATTAGTAGGTAAGTTCCAAGAGACCCATATTCCTGGTGAGCCAGGAACTGGGTAGGGTGGTGCTGGGGTGTGCCTTGGTGTGCCAGTATCCCTTGGGACGAGCATGACCTTTGGCTCTTCCCCATCCCCTCAATAATTCCTTCCATTTCCCCCAAGCACCCTCGGCCCTATGTTCTTCGAAAGAGGGGGAGAGTTGCCCTCTCTGTAGCCTAGGATGGGAGTGGGGGAAAGACGAAGCAAAGCCTGCCTTCTCCTAGTATACACCTTTCTGACCCTTGACTCTGGCCCCACCTCTCCCACCTTGCTCCCTTCCCCATCCCCCACGCCCAGCCCCCAACCTCCTTCCTCTACTTCCAATATCTTTCTGTCTAGTGCCCCCTCTCCTGCTTCTTCCCAGGGTTGGTGGCTTTTGGCAGGGTTTCTTTTCAGCCCTGACTTTGGGAAAGTGCCCAGGTGTCCAAAAGCCCAGGGAGTCTGACCCAACGTAGGACAGAGGATCTCAGAGTATGGGACTTAACCATCTAGTCCAGTAGTTCCCACCTTTTTTGGAAATGAGAACCTCCTTTTAATAGCAAAGAATCACTGGATTGGGAATGAGGAAGATCTGGGTTCAAATCCTGTCTCTGACACCGGCAAACTGCTCGAACATGAACAAATATTAACCTCTCTGAGCCTCAATTTCCTCAGCTTTTAAATGGGGATAGTTATAGCACCTAGCTTGTGAAGATCAAATGTGATATTTGTAAAGTACTTTGTTATAGAAACAACAGTTATTGTATCATTATTACTGCAGTAGGGGTACTATAGCTTGGGTGGATTGAAAAAATGCATGATGACAGAATGCTACTATAGATCCAGTCAGAGAACGGGTTTCATGAGTCCAGGTATCCTCTCAGGGCTGAAGGTTGGGATCTATCTGTAACTTATAGGTTAGAGCACGGGTTTTTAACCTTTTTTGCATGTGTTTCTGTGACCCCTTTGGCAGAGGAGGGAAGCCTACGTTGCATTGAATTGATTCTGTAAAATACCCAGAGTCCCTCCCTCTGGGGGGCTATTGGGAGGATCACATCTCCCAGGCATTTTCCACCATCCTAGCAGAGCTGGGTGGTGAACCCAGATCCTTTGACTCCACACCCTATTATGCTGTTGAAGACCGGCTCTAAAGAGTCTGATCTGGGTTTAAGATCCACGACGGAGCTTGACTTTTTCCCAGGCTTAACCCACAGGGCTCAATTATCTAGGAAGTGGGCTCTCCAAATCTCCCCTGCAAGGGAGGCTCCCAAGACATTCCTTTCTCACCCGTTGAACCTTAGATTTACACACCACTCCTCTATGCAGGTGGCACCAAGGCGCCTGGGAAAACCTTGGAGTTTACAACCAAATCTAGGGACCCTGATAACAAAGAAATATATGTTGCCACATACTCAGTAGTTGTTTGGGGAGTGTCTCATGGGGAGGACTCTTTGAAGTTAGGTTAGATTTTTTCTATATATGCTGTACCCTCAGATGAATAAACTCACTCAGTTCTTCACTGACCCACCTGGCCCACGTCTTTCTTTATCTCACGCTCTCCCGTTCAGGGCACTACTTGATCGCTGGCAACATCATGCCAACAATAACCCCGTAGCTCACACTGATAGAGCCTTCAAGGTTTGCAAAGTGCATTTGACACATCTCATTTGAGCCTTGCAACAACCCTGGAGGTAGAGGATGTTATTATATCCCCATTTGGCTGCCGTTCAGTCATATCTGACTCCTTGTGACCCCACTTGGGGTTTTCTTGGTGGAGATACTGGAGGGGTTTAGCATTTCCTTTTCCAGTTCATTTTACAGGTGAGGAAACTGAGGCAAACAGGGGGAAGTGACTTGCCCAGCTAGGAGATTTCTGAGTATGGATTTGAATTCAGGTCTTCCTGAATCCAGGCCCAAGGTTTCATCTACTACGCCACCAGTTGCCAGAGCATGACTAACAGAACAATAGCGAATTGATAGCTTATCTTCTTCTCAGCCGGGGACCACTGGGGTCCTAAGTGAGTATAACCTAAGAAGGCAGAGATGCTACTCTAACCCTCAGATCACAGATTGAGAGCTTGGTGGGACCTCAAAAGTCATCTCATCCAGCCTCTTCATTTTACAGAAGAGAAAAGTGAGGCCCAGTGGGTGAAGGCATTTATAATCCCAGGGTTACAGATCTAGGACTGGAAAAGACCTCCAGGGTCTTAGACCAACCTCCCTCCCTTTCTAAGGTGCAGGGAAGGTAGGATTTGCCCGAGGTCGCCCACCTAGTGAGCCTTGGAAGATAGGTTTGAACATAGCATTTTTTGTCCTGTCCCCTGTTTTGGTCAGTTGAGCAAGCCGGCCCATCCCTTGTATCCTGGGAAGAACATATCTGTTGGACAGGGACAGGATCCAAAGGGCTCTTTATTTATTCATTCATTCATTCATTCATTCATTCATTCATTCATTCATTCACTCATTCATTCATTTATTCTCATTCATTCATTTAGTCATTTATTTATTCATCTATCTATCTGTCTGTCTGTCTGTCTGTTTATTTATTTATTTATGAAGGACTCCTTCAATGGAATCTTTTTCTCTGACTTTTCTTTCTTTTATTTTTTTTCTCTTTTAATTTGGTTAGGCAATGGGGTAAGTGACTTGCCCAGGGTGACACACCTAGTAAGTGTTATGTGTTTGAGGCCACATTTGAACTCAGGTCCTCCTGAATTCTCTGACTATTTAATTTCAGGCAGGTCATTTCTCTTTCTTGGGCCTCTCATTTTCAAAGTCTATAAAATGGGGGATGGTTTGTATGAGAGAGGCAGCAGAGAGGATAGAGAAAGGGGTGGTAAGGGGTGAACTTGGGGCAGGGAGCCTCCCTCTGTTGCCCACTTCAAGTAGGACTGTGGGCAACGCCTTTATCATCCCTGGCCCAGTTTCCTCTTCTATGACATGAAGGTTTGAATCAGAGGACAACTGGGGGCCCTTCCATGTCTAGCGTTAGGATCCAGTCTTTTTACCTACAGTTAGATGTCTCAGTGGCTAGAGTGGCCAGGCCTGGAGATGGGAAGACCTGAGTTCAAAACCAGCCTCAGACCCTTACTGGCTGTGTGACCCTGGGCAAATCACTTCACCCTGTTTACTTCAGTTTCCTCATTTGTAAAATAAGCTGGAGGAGGAAATGATAAACCACTCCA